GCCGGTGAACAGACCGCCGGAGGGGACGCCCTCGGCGATGAAGGGCCCGTAGTCGCTGCGGCCGCTGAACTCGGTCTCGCCGGAGGCCAGGCCCACGGAGCCGAAGTGCTCGTGGAAGGCCGCCTCGATCGCGGCCGAGCCCGCCGGGGCGGTCACGGGCCCATCGGGGCCCTGCACGGGCGGGAACGCGGAGTGGTCGCCGTCGTAGACGAAGCGCCCGTAATTCGGGGAGCCGATCATGTCGAAGTTCAGGTACACCGCGATGTCCTCCAGCGCGGCGGGGTCGTTGGCCTTCAGGTCCGCGACGTAGTGCCGGGAGCCGCGCAGGCCGAACTCCTCCGCGCCCCACCAGGCGAAGCGCACCGTGTTGGCGGTCTCCGTGCCCGCGAGCGCCTCGGCGATCGCCAGGATCCCCGCGGAGCCCGAACCGTTGTCGTTGATGCCCGCGCCCTCGGGGACGCTGTCCAGGTGGGCGCCGACCATCACCGTGCTCCCGGGATCGCCCGAGCCCGTCTCGGCGAGGACGTTGAACGTCTCACGGTTCTCGGAGACGGTCTGCGCCGTCACGGTCACCTCGCCCCCGCCCAGCAGGGCGGTCCCGGCCGCATGGCTGAGACCGACCACCGGGAGGGTCGTGGCACCGGGCTCCCCGAGCGTGCCGGCGACCACGCCTTCCTCTCCGGGGAGACCGGTGTTGAAGATCAGCACCGCGGAGGCCCCGGCGGCCTGGGCGTTGGCGGCCTTCACGCCGAAGGTGCACGTGCCCCGCTGGAGCAGGGCGACGCTGCCCGCCGTGAAGCCGGCGAAGTCCTCGGCCTCGCAGCCGCTGGTGCTCGCCGCCGGGGCGCCGGTGGTGTCCACGGCCTGCACCGGGGCGGTCACCGTGCCGGACCCGGAGTAGACCATGACGGCCGCCTCCGCCGCGGTCAGGGTCCGCGGGACACCGCCCGGGCCGGGCACGGCCACGGTGGTCGGGACGACCTCCTGGAAGAACGGGAAGGAGAAGCTCTGGACCCGCGGGGCGTAGCCGGCGGCGCGCAGCCGGCCGACCACGTAGTCCGCGCTGCCCCGGTAGCCCGGGGTGCCCGAGGCCCGGTTGCCGCCGTTGGCGTGGGCGACGGCCTGGAACACCTCGAGGTGGTCCAGCACCTGCTGCACGGGCACGGCCGCGGCGGTCGGGGCGAGCGCTCCGGCGTCGCCGGCCTCCCCCGGAGCCGCCGTGACGGCGCTCGGCACGGTGAGCGCGAGGGTGCCGGCCAGGGCCGCGGCCACGGTCCATCGGCGGGGTGAGGGGTGCGGCATGGGTCCTCCCGGGGCCTGAGGCCGATCGGGGGCTCGACCGTGTCCGTCATGGGCCCCATCGGGCGGGTGGAGTCCTGCGCACAGGATCTCAGCTCCAGGTCAGGGGCACAATGACCGGACGGATTGTGGCGCCGGGAACCGCATCCGTCTCAGTGCGGCCGCCTCACTCGGTCTGCCTCTGCGCGGCGGCGTTGCTGGGGCCGCGGCCCTGGTCGACAGCGGCGGGGGGAACGGGCGCCACGATGCCGAGCAGCCGCCGGCCCTCCGTCTCGAGGTCCTCGGTGGAGTTCGCGAAGCGCAGGACGACGGCGGAGGCCGCACCGGTCATCTCCTCCAGCGTCCGGAGGTCGACATTGCTGAGGTCGTCGCAGGACGCGTGGTAGCAGAAGTCGTAGCCGACCCCGGCCCGGCCGCCGAACAGCGCCGCCTGCTCCACGGTCTTGATCCCCTCCGCCCCCGTGAACAGCCCGCCGGAGGGGACGCCCTCGGCGATGAAGGGCCCGTAGTCGCTGCGGCCGCTGAACTCCGTCTCACCCGAGGCCAGGCCCACGGAGCCGAAGTGCTCGTGGAAGGCCGCCTCGATCGCGGCCGAGCCCGCCGGGGCGGGCACCGAGCCGTCCTCCGGGCCGAAGGCCGAGGCGTCGCCGTCGTAGACGAAGCGCCCGTGGTTCGGGGAGCCGATCATGTCGAAGTTCAGGTACACCGCGATCTTGCCGAGCGTCCCGGCGTCGTTGGTCTTCAGGTCCGTGACGTAGTGCTTGGACCCGAGCAGGCCGAACTCCTCCGCGCCCCACCAGGCGAAGCGCACCGCGTTGGCGGTCTCGGTGCCCGCGAGCGCCTCGGCGATGGCCAGGATCCCCGCGGAGCCGGACGCGTTGTCGTTGATCCCGGGACCCTCCGGGACGCTGTCCAGGTGGGCGCCGACCATGACCGTGCGCTGCCCGTCCCCCGAGCCCGTCTCGGCGAGGACGTTGAACGTCTCCCGGCTCTCGGAGACGGTCTGCGTGCTGACCGTCACCTCGCCCCCGCCCAGCAGTGCCACACCGGCCGCGTAGCTCAGCCCGACCACGGGGACGGTCACCCCGCCGGGTTCGCCCAGGGTGCCGGCGACCACACCCTCCGCCCCGTCCAGTCCCGTGTTGAAGATCAGCACCGCGGACGCCCCGGCGGCAACCGCGTTGGCGGCCTTCACCCCGAAGGCGCACGTGCCCCGCTGGAGCAGCGCGATGTTCCCCGGCACGAAGTCGGCGAAGTCCCCGGCCTCGCACCCGCTGGTGCTCGCGGCCTTCTCACCGGTCGTCCCCACGGCCTGCACCGGCGCCGTCACGGTCCCGGAGCCGGAGTAGGTCATGACCGCCACGTCGGTCGCGGGAAGCTGCCGTCCGCCCGCGCTGACCGTGGCCGGGGCGGTCTCCTGGAAGAAGGGGAAGGTGAACTTCTGGACCTGCGGGGCGTAGCCGGCGGCCCGCAGCCGGCCGACCACGTAGTCCACGCTGCCCCGGTAGCCGGACGTGCCCGAGGCACGGTTGGCGTTGTTCGCGTTGGCGATGGCCTGGAACACCTCGAGGTGCTCCAGCACCTTCCCGACGGGCACGCCCGCCGCGGTCACCGGGACCACCCCGTCGCGGTCGGGGTGGCGGCGGCCACGGTCCGGTGGTGGTGGATGCGGTGGCGCATGGGATCTCCCGGGGCAGGGGCCGATCGGGGGCTCGACCGTGGGGTCGGCTCCATCGTGCTGGTGGAGCCCTGTGCCCAGAATCTCAACTACTCGTCAGCGGCACAACGGTTGGGCGGATTGTGGCGCAGCGAACGGCCCCGCCCCCGGCAGTTCGCGCCGGGGGCGGGGCCGTTCGCTGGGCCTCGGGACCGTCAGGCGGCCGCCTTGTCGTGGCCGTGCCCGTGGCCGCGACCGTGCTCGGAGTGCGGGCCGTGGCCGCGATCGTCACCCTTGGGGTGGCCGACGGCGCCCTTGCCCTTGTGCTGGTAGGGCTTGCCCTCGCCGTTGACGTCGTGGGTGGACATCGCGTAGCGCAGGACGACCGCCGCGGCGGCGTCGGACATCTCCTCCATGCCCTGAAGGTTCACGTTCGAGATGTCGTCGCACGCGGAGTGGTAGCAGGAGTCGTAGGCGACACCGGCCTGGCCGCCGAACAGCTCGGCCTGCTCCTCGGTCTTCACGCCCTCGGCGCCCGTGAAGAGACCGCCGGAGGGGATGTCGGCCTCGATGAACGGCCCGTAGTCGCTGCGGCCGCTGAACTCGGTGTCCCCGGAGGCCAGCCCCACCGAGGCGAAGTGCTCGTGGAACGCCGCCTCGATCGCCGCGGAGCCCTCGGGGACGTTGGTGTCGCCGGGGTCGAAGGTGGAGGCGTCGCCGTCGTAGACGAAGCGCCCGTAGTTCGGGGAGCCGATCATGTCGAAGTTCAGGTACATGGCGATGTCCTCGAACGCCTCGGGGTCGTTCTCCCGCAGATCGGTCACGTAGTGCTCGGCGCCCAGCAGGCCGAGCTCCTCCGCGCCCCACCAGGCGAAGCGCACGGTGTTCTCGGTGTTCGTCTTGGCCATCGCCTCCGCGATGGCCAGGATGCCGGCGGACCCGGTGCCGTTGTCGCTGATGCCGGCGCCCTCGAGCACGCCGTCCAGGTGCGCGCCGACCATCACCGTGTTCTCCGGGTCGCCCGTGCCGGTCTCGGCGAGGACGTTGTAGGTGGTGCGGGTCGCCGAGACGGTGTCCGTGGCGACCGTGACTTCGGCGGCGTCCAGCAGGTCCACGCCCGCCCGGTAGCTGAGGCCGACCGTCGGCAGGGACGTGGCCTCCGGGGAGCCCAGGGTGCCGGCGACGGCGTCCTCGGCGTTCGGCAGGCCCGTGTTGAAGATCAGCACGGCGCTCGCACCGGCCGCCTCCGCGTTCGCGGCCTTGACCGCGAAGGAGCAGGTGCCGCGCTGGAGCAGAGCAATGTTGCCCGCTTCGAAGCCGGCGAAGTCGCTCGCCTCGCAGCCGCTCGTGCTGCCCACCCGGGCCCCGGTGGTGTCGACGGCCTGCACCGCGCCGGTGACGGTGCCCGTGCCGGAGTAGGTCATCACCGCGACGTCCTCGGCGGCGAGCTGCGTGCCGTCCGCGGCGACCGTGGCGGGGGTGCGCTCCTGGAAGAACGGGAAGTCGAACGCCTGGACCTCCGGGGTGTAGCCGGCGGCGCGCAGCCTCTCGACCACATAGTCGACGCTGGCCTGGTAGCCGGAGGTGCCGGAGGCGCGGTTGCCGTCGTTGGCCTCCGCGATCGACTGGAAGGCGTTCAGGTGCTCCGTGAGCTTCTGCTGGGAGACGGCCTGGGTGATCTTGTGGGTGGTGTTGTTGTTGCTGGTGTCGCGGGTGGGGGCCGCGACGGCACTGGTCGCCGTGAGGGTCAGGGCGCCGGCCAGGGCGGCCGCGGTGATCCAGTGGCTGGGCTTGCGGACGGGCATGGAACCTCCAGGTGAGCGGCGGCCGGGAGGTAGCCCGGCCGTGACGCGGTTCACAGTCATCGAGGGATGACTCGGATTTGCACATGCTCACAAATGGGTTACCGACTGGTCAATAACTTTTGTCCACTACTTGGGGGACGAACCCTGGGGGCGACACGGTCCCGACGCCCCGATTTCCCACCCGCCCGGCCGGATGGCTATGATGGAGCAGTTGTTTCCGGCCGAGGCCGGATGCTTCACGGGATGTGGCGCAGCTTGGTAGCGCGCGTCGTTCGGGACGACGAGGTCGCAGGTTCAAATCCTGTCATCCCGACCATCAGCGAAAGGCCCCGGACCAGTTGGTCCGGGGCCTTTCGCATGTCCCGCCCCGCACTACGCGCAGCGCCGGCTGTCCCCGCAAGAAGCGACGCCCTCCGCCGATGCATTTGCAAATTCATCGAATAGGCTCGTCACTGTCAGGGCGTGCCCGCCCCGGCGGCCCAGGGACCGGCTGATCCTCCGCTCCCCCGCCGCCGCTGCCGCACCCCTGCCATCGCGGGCGTCATGGGGGCGCCCGGAACGTTCGTCTGCTCCGGGGGGAGTCCTCACCATGAATCTCGACATCGACCGTGTCCTCGACGACGCCGGCACCGGCGTGCTGGGCGCCGTCCTCCAGCTGTTCACCGACTGGTCCCTGTGGCTGGGCATCGGACTGATCGTCGCCGCGGTCATCAGCTCCGCCATGACCAAGAAGATCCCCTGGACCCGCGAGGCCTCCGTGTGGCTGTACTCGATGGCCGCCACGGCGTGCTTCGCCGTGCACTGGGCGGCCGTGCCGGCCTGAGTGACATTGACGCACCCGGCCCTGGTCAAGGGCCGGGTGCGTCGTCGTGTGCTGTGACAGCGCGGACCGCGGCGTCCCGCCGGATGACCCCGCTCCGGACGGCTCGGACCTACTTCCGGGTCGAGGAGAAGACCAGCTTCTCGTCCCCGCCCTCGAGATCCCGCTCGGCCAGAGCCCACTGGCCCTGCATGAGCTGCTCGAGCAGATCGTCGGTCAGCTGCTGCTGGTCGCCGCCCTGGCCACCCAGCTCCTTCTCGAGTGCCTGCCGCAGGAGCTCCTCGGAGAACGCTCCGTCCTGCCCGGTCAGCTCCGGCGCGGCGAGGTCGGCCAGCATGCACAGCCCCTCGCAGGTGACCACGAGCTTGAGACCGGCCTCGATCGTCGTCGACGTGGTCGTCGTGGTGCTGGTCGACTTCCGCTCCGTCGCCTGGACCGGCATGCCACCACCCACCGGCCCCGCCACAGCCGCAGGTGCCTGTCCGAGGGCGAATGAGGACCCGGCAGCGGGCGTCTGCCCGGGGATGCTCGTTCCTGCCAGGCCGCCGACCGGAGCGGCGGCCTGGGCCGTCCCTCCGGCAGGGGCGGCAGAGTCTGCGGAGGCCCCTGCCGGCGGTGCGGGAGAGGACTTGGGCGCCGCAGGGGACGTCGGTTGCGGCGCCGGGCTGGTGGTCGGCGTCGCGGTGCTGAGCGGCGGCAGGGGTTCGTAGGTGTGCGCACCCCTCGCCTCGGCCGCGGCACCGCCGCAGCCGGTGAGGGCGGCGAGCGCGAGGGACGCGACGACGACGGTGCGAGTGGTGCGGCTCATCGAGATCTCCCGGAGAACTGGGACGGAGGTGGACATCAGGCGGACCGATCCGAGGTGGTGGCCGGGCGTCGGCGCAGCAGCCAGGCGCCGAGGCCGGCGCCGACAGCGACCACGACGAGGATCACCGAGGTCATGGCGCTGCGCTCACCGGCCGCAGGAGCTGCCCCCATGCCGGTGTTGGCCATGGCCGACTCGGCATAGGCCGCTCCCCCAGCCGTCATGGTGGTCTCCGTGACGACCTCCGTGGAGGTAGTGGTCTGCTTGTCGAACAGGACGAAGGCCTCGAGGGTCGCCGTGAGCTTCTGCTCGGCGGCGGCATCGGTCACGACCTCGAGGACAGGGGCACCGCCATCCCGGACCACCGGCTCGGCGTCCGGTCCGGTCGCGCCGTCGCCGGAGTCCGTGTCGCTGCCGGGGTCGCCGATTCCGTCGACGTCGTTGCCGGTGGGGGTGCTCTGATCGATCGGCGCATCCCCGGTCCCGTCGTCGTCCGGGGGCGTGGTCTCCTCAACGGGGATCTCCTCCTCCGGCGCGGTCGGTGCGTCGATCTCGAACCCGGCGCTCGCGGCCCAGTCCACCGTGCGCTCCTGGCCTGCGATGAGCAGGTCGCGGTACTGGTCGTCGGCCAGGACGGTGAGCTCGGTCGATGGCATGGTCGCCGTCAGGTCGGCGGTCAGCTCACCCTCGGTGACCTCGGCGGGCACGGCCAGTTCGAGGTACTTGTCCCGATCCCCGCCGGTGAAGGTCTGCGTCGTCGTCCCGTCGGCGAAGGTAACGGGCCCGGACAGGGTGACGGTCGTGGCGTAGTAGGCCTCCGGCATGGTGACGAGCAGCGTGTCGGGTCGACCGTCCGACTCGAAGGACACGGAGACCCGGTAGCTGTCCTGCGGGGTGAGAGCCGGGACGTTGTTCCGCGCGTCCCGGACGAGGAACTCGGCCCGGTCCAGGTGCGACTGCTCGATGCCGGCCGGCTGCGGCAGCTCCGCGATCGACAGGGAGCGCACGGCCCACTGCACCGCCAGCGCCTCGTCCGGATCCTCGGTGGGACCGAAGACCGAGAGGATGTATCCGGCGAGGGCGGCGTTCTCCGGCTCCCAGTAGACCGGGCTGTCGCCGACCTTCTCGCCCACCACGTTCTCCCACCCGGTCGCCGGGTCGTCGAAGGGCTCGGCCACCGTGTAGCCCTCGTCGTCCAGCACGAGCTCTCCGACGGGGGCCAGGGGCTGGTCCTCGTGGATGCCGTAGGCGGTGTCGGTGTTGGTCAGCTTCACCGGGGTGAAGAACGACTCCGCGCCGGTGCTCGGGCTCCCCTCCGGGACCTCGACGAGGTACTCCGCGATCGCCACGGGCACGGCTGCGGCCGGCGTCGCGGCGACCAGCGTCCCGGTCACCGCGGTGGTGCCGGCCAGAGCCGCCACCACGAGGAGCTGCGCGCGGCGGGCGGGGAGGGGGGAGGGCATGCGAACTCCTGGGGATCGTGTCGGGATCGGCAGGCCGGTGGGCGGCCGACCGATCTTTACTAATGTAATTGCATGGAGGGGGTGCTGTCCGGGGAAGTCACTGTGCGACGCCGGGTGTGCGCACAAGAGGGGACGGACGGCTCGGCAGCGGTGTCACGGGACAGGGGCGGTCTCGGGATCGAGGGCCAAATCGACGATGAGGTTGTTGGTATACGACCAGGATGGTGCGCCGTCCGGCCGGACGTAGTCGCCCGAGCAAGTGACCAGGGACAGTCCTGGCTCCCCTGTCAGCTCGAAGATGTCCCGCGGCGGGGCGTCCCGCGGGGTCGGCTCCCGCACGGTGGTCACGGTGTAGGAGAACACTCCTCCGGTCCCGTCGGAGACCCACAGCTTCTGCCCGGGCTGCGCCGTGTAGAGCGTGGCCAGCGCGGGGGCGTCGTAGGGATAGTCGACGTGCCCGGCCAGCACCGCGTTGCCCTGCTCGCCACCGATCGGGGCGGAGGCCGAGTACCAGCCGATCGCCGCGTGGTCCTCGTGCGTGGGCACCGCCATGTTCCCAGCCGCATCCGTCCCCATGGATTCGAGCGCCGCGTCGATGCCGATCGACGTGGAGCAGACCCGGGCCCGGGCGGACAGGTCCCCGCAGGTCTCCGGGCCCGGCACTGCGGGGTGGGCCCCCGGGTCGCCGGCGGCCCGGGCGTCGTTCGTCGCGAGCGACGAGGCGTACACCGGTTCGGGAGCGCTCACCGCGGCAGGGTCGCTGTGCTGGACGTCCCCGCCGAAGCCGGCCGCCGCGCTGCCGGTCAGCCAGGGCAGCACCAGGAGGCCGACGGCGGAGAGCGAGACGACAACGAGGACGATCGAGAGCGCTGTGCGTCCGGTGCCGGTCGACCCTGGGGACGGCGCAGAATTGTTGATCGGCATCCGGCTACATCTTCATGACGTTGAGGACGGTGGGGCCCAGCACGGTGAGGAACAGCACCGGGAGGATGAACAGCATCAGGGGGATGAGGATCTTCGTGGGGATCTTCTGCGCAGCCTCTTCGGCCCGCTGACGTCGCTTGGTGCGCATCTCGTTCGCCTGGGTTCTCAACACCGTGGCTATGGAGATGCCGTAGGCGTCCGCCTGGATCACGGCACGGGTGAACTGCCGCAGGTCGGGCACGTCGGTGCGCTGCTCGAGCGCGAGGTAGGCGTCGCGACGCGGGATGCCCACGCGCATCTCCTGCAGAGTGCGCACGAGTTCCTCCGCGAGGGGGCCCTTCCCGTTGTGCCCGGCCCGGGCCATGGCGGATTCGAAGCCGAGGCCGGCTTCCACCGCGATCATCATCTGGTCGAGGGTGTCGGCGAGCTCGAGCCCGATGGCCTTCTGCCGCTCAATGCCCCTGCTGTAGAGCAGCAACTCCGGCAGGAAGTAGCCCACCGGCACCATGACCACCACGATGAGCAGGATCATGCCGTTGCCACTCGTGATGGCAAGGAGCAGAAGTCCCACCAGGAGGGCGGCGCCCATGGCGTACACCTTGCAGGCCATCAGGCGGGCGACCGGCCACTCCGCAGGCCGGCCTGCTTTGGAGTAGAGGGTCTCGAGCCGCTCCTTGCCGTTGCCGGTGGTGAACCGGCTGGCCCAGCCGAAGTCCGGTGCGTCGCGGATCATCTCGGCCTCCGTGGCGCCGAAGTCGATGCGCAGATTCTGGCGGACCAGCCGGTCGCCGCCCCAGCGCACGCCGACGGCGAGCCAGATGGCCAGGCCTGCGGCGCCCGCGAGGAGCAGCATGCCGAAGAGGAGGGGGGTCATGGCACGTCCTTCGGGAAGATGATGAATCAGAACTTGATCTTGACGATCCTCGACATCCAGAACCCACCGATCGCGAACATCAGCAGGGCAACGAAGATCATCGCGTAGCCGAAGAACCCGCTCGTGAGGAACTGGGAGATGTACTCGGGCGAGATCAGGGACAGGATCGCGGCGATCAGCACGGGCAGAGCCATGAGGATGTAGGCGGACATCTTTCCCTCGGCCGAGAGCGTCTTAACCTGACGTCGGATCTGATTCCGCTCGCGGATGGTGCCCGCCACGCGATCGAGCACCTCGGCGAGGTCACCGCCGACCTCGCGATGGATGCCGATCGCCTGGGCGACCCAGGAGAAGTCGTCGGACCCCATGCGCTTGGCGGCCTGGTCCAGCGAGGCGTCCAGATCCATGCCGAGCCGGGTCTCGTTGA